TATTGAAGGTGATACCTGATGTGAAAGGACTTCACATGAGCCAAGCCAGACAGTTGTCCAGAGAGAGAAGAATCTCTTCTGCTTGGAGACAGTGGTCAGAGTTTAAATTTAATTTCCTTTCTACAGGGGTGGGAGGATTGGGGGTGGATTGGAAGTGTCATGAAGCCAGAGGTCCCTAACTAGAAGACATGGAAGTCCAGAGACCAAGGAAACACAGGTGCACAAGAGGGGACCAGGCCTCTAAACAGCCGCTAAGCTTTGCCTCCCTGGCTTGCAGCACATTGCATTCTGGGAAAGTCGGCTGATTGCAGATCTGACACTGCCACCCACTGGATGCCTGGGCCGGGTCTTCTGGGCTCCTGTGATTCTCCTAGGACCTGTCTTCTTGGTCCTGGTAGAGGACATAGCTGGAACTAGCAGCCTGAAAGAAAATCCCCTTGTGAGAAGCCAAGAGCATCTAGATGGATAGGCTGTCCATCCAGCGAAGCCTGAACACGACCAGAGGACATAAAATCATTTTTATGTCCCGTTCCTTTGCTACCCTTTCCTCTACCTTACATGTCTTGGTCCACTTCTAATTGACTGTTAATCCTGCCTGGTTCACTGTTATTCATATATATGCATATATTTATTTTTTTAAACATCTCGGTCTCATTATTATTTTAAGGAGAGGTCATCAGTGCTTTGAAATCCAGATTCATATAGATTTCAACTTTTCAACCACAGTTTCTTTGCAAGTGCTACCCTGCATCCCTACCTGGGGCAGGCCCTGTAATTCACTGATGCGAGTATCAGCATCCCTGGCTCTTAGCGCTGGTTGCTAGAATAACAACCTCTCAGGGGTAGTTTCATCCATGATCACTCATTTATGTGTGTTTTGCTGCCCTGGTTTCAGTGGAATAGGTCCAAAAGGGGTCACTGCCATTAGGAAAAACATTCATTGTGAGCTGGCTTGGGTGGGAGAGGGAGACCCTGGACCAAGGGTCACTGATTCCATCAGTCTGGGTTGTCACCTTGCCAGGTGACAGGGCTCTAGGAATGGAGGCCCAGAAAAGACAAAACGTCCTCTGTCCAAGGTCGCTTGGGCTCTGAGCTATCCTGTAAGTCTTGCTTTGGCTGAGCTAGGAAGCCTGGCATGCTGTGAGTAGATTGACATGTCTCTTATTGCAAAAGGCCTGGAAAAGGCTTTCTTCCTGTGGATGATATGGCTGTCTGGGGAGACTGGTCCACTCTTGGTGGTGGTACCTAGCCAGAACCCCAGGGCCCTCTCCAGATGTCCTCCTGGCCTGACTGGTGTGATTCCTCTCTGCTCAAGGCTGGCAGCTGCTTTTGTGTCTTGGGTTGTGTCAGATCTGGCCAAGACCAGGAGATCAGCTGGGCTGTAGCCATTCTGGCAGATGTGTGATTCCTGATGGAGCCCAACTGGAGACCGGAATAGACAGTGAAGACTCCAGCTTCTGCAAGAACTGGGAGTGAGCCAGGCCACCACTGGGTCCAGCATGGACAGCAGGGTTCTCCTACACCCCCCACCTCCTCTGAGGGCTCAGAGCTTCTCCAGGGTCCCCCAAGAGCTTCTCCAGGGTCCCCCAAGAACTTGGTACTGGGTTGGCTCTGATACTTGTGTCTTAATGTTAGGCTCAGCCTTTGTGTTCCTGGTATGTGGCCGTGGCTTGCGGGTATTAGGCACAGGTGACAGCTGGCTGGGCAAATAGGTGGAAAAAGTGGTCAGGGCAGGAAGTGGGAGCCTTGGTGTAGCCGGAAGGTAAAATGGCGGGGTCTGCACATCAGCCTGTGGATCGTCTGTTTCAGGTCCGCGACATTAGCCACCAAAGGCCAGGGGGAGGCAGCAAAACATTTCGGGTAGTTCTCTGGGGTCTTTTTCTGCTTTAGGAGGAACAGGCATCAGTGTGACCCTGGATGGCTGAGGAGGGATCTCTTTTGTGTCCCCGGAGTCCAGCCCCCATTGGCTATGTGTCCCTGCATCCACCCAGTAGGTGCTGTGTGCTCAAAGTTGAATCAGAAGTTAAGGTGAAGACGTGCCCTCTCTGAGAGGCAGGCAAAGTGCTGATTCCTAGGGGGAAGCTGGATGGGATGTTTTGCATCAGGGTCTGAGGTCAGCTTCCCAGATAGGTTTGAGACAAATCTGTGCAGGAGGTTCAAGAGAAAGGCAGGACGGGAAGGGCAGGGAGAGGTAGGGGAAGGCAGCCACCCAGAAGGCCTCAGCCTGTCCCATGAGGAGCACTGAGCTTGCTTTAGAAGTTGGATTTGAGGGGCCTGGAGATACACAGCTCAACAGTAAATCCCTTGTCTAGCAGTTACAAGGTCCTGGGTTCAATGTCTAGCTTAAAACAACAGGATAGTTGGTTTTGAGGCAGGGGATTTGGCCAGCCTTTGAGATCCCCATTCCCTCCTCCCACCTCAGGTGTTGCTTCGGGGCAACCTATCTCCTTCTGGTACCCACTCCAACATATGGGGGAAGGAACCAAACTGGTGACCGCATAGCAAAGGAAGCATTTTAGTTGAGACTTGAGGGATGCATGGGACGCGATTTCCAGGGATTGGGTGGGAGATGGCAGGGACACACGACCTGCAGAAGGCTTGTTCAGAGCTCACTGTGGGACATTCACTGGCCTTTGGGTGAGGTCAACAGGAAATCAGTCTGGACAGGCAGACAGGGCTGGGATCCTGGAGCGCCTTGCCAGGAGGACGTTGGAGTGTGTCAGGAAGGGGATTTTCACACGTGAGTGACCAATTGCGAGAGCTGGGCTGTGGGGCAAGTGGTCTGCTGGCTGTGTGTGGAGAGAGACAGGAGGCCGGGAAATAGGGAGGAGGAGACATGGGCTGAATGAGATACAGAAAAAGAGAGGAGACAGATGTGACAGGGAGATCTGTGGAGAAATCAGTTAGATTAGGATGGAGGGAAATGAGGCCTGGGAAGTAGGGTGGATCCTGCCTCTGGGTCTCTGGTGGCCGGGCACCCAGGAGGACAGGGCTCAAAAGGAGAGCCCGGGCTGACCTTAGGGATACAGAGGCACAGTGGCCTCCAGGGAGGGCCAGTCCTACAGCAGAGGAGAAAAGAGGTCTCCTTGGAAAGGGGCTGAGGCTAAGGCACACCTGCTTCCTAGGGAACCCCTCACTTTTTTTGGATACTTATCTCAGCCCCACTGTGTGTTTTCTGTGCCCTCGAGGCTCGGTGACATCTCCATCTGTAACCTGGCGGTCTTGTTCTGCTCTGCATTGACATCCTAAGCATGCTACACTTGTTAACTCACTAATGCTCCGTTTCAGCTCTGTTAAGCCCCATTGTCATCCCTGATTCCGGAGAATGACAAAATGAGAGCTTTGGCTGCGCTTGAGGCACCCAGTTAAGCCATGAATGGCTGCCCACGCATGCCTCCCAGAGGTCACTTGCAGGACATCTTGCTGATCTCTCCATAGCCAGGGTCCCCTCCATCTCCTCCTCCTTCCCATCCTCTTCCTCCTCCTTTTCCTCCTCCTTCTTCTCTGGCTCAGAAAGGCCCCTGCACCCCGCTGGCAGACTTGCTGCAGGGCATTCCCCATCAAAGACCCCACAGCACTCTGGGTTTTGGTCACCTCCTCCTGGCTGCTTCCCTGACTGGCCTCAAGTCTGTTATTTCTCCCTTAAGACAGGAAAAAGACATCCTGAAACCCATCAAAGCTGGGAGGCAGGCTTACCAGGGCCAGGGAGACCAGTTAGCCCAGTTCCTATGTTTTAGATAAAAAAGCAGAAGCCAGAGAGGCTGTGTGGCTTGGCCAGAGCTACACAGCAATTTAGGAAGAAAGCTGAGAAGGGAATCTGCAGTTAATCACTTGAATCCCAAATGAGCGAAGCCATCAGAGGGTTGTGTTTGTGTTTTCAGTGTTGAAATAGTTGCATTTTCAGTAATAGACCCTGTGAACGAGTCGTTTCCTTGTACATGTAGGTCTGGCTCACAAACAACTTCATGCTGGAGGTTATCTGTGGGCACCCAGCATCAGTGCCCCTCCCCTGGCTGAACATCACTGTTGAACTGATTTGACAGAGGGAGAGGCACCAAGAAGCTAAGGAACTTGACCTAGGTTATACTAATGTTAAGAGGCAGAGCTGGGATCCAGACTCAGCCAACTGCTGTTGGCAGTAGAAGATAACCACTGAGCTATCCAGCCCCTGCAATGACCGTGGAAATATAGTCACAGAACTTGACACAGGAAAAGACAGTACAGTATGACTTCATCTTGTTTCAAAGGTGATCTTGTGTCTGGTGAGCAAGTGGACTTGTGGATACCAAAACGTTGGTAGTAATGACCTCCAATGCTCATTTTTTTCTGTGTTTTTTATAGTAGCAGAATGAGAAAGCACTGTTTTTATCACTAAGGTTGTTTAAGAAGGCTGCACCTAGCAGTGAAGTGGGTACGGTGGCCCTGAGGGGACAATAATGCAGCTGCGGTGTTAATTGTGTTTCTGATCTGCTGCATGGTTGAACAACAGAAAGGGGTGAGGTGGCTTTAATTCAAACAAGACACAGAAGAGCGGAATGGGGAATGTTCACGGAAATCATCCTGATGGCACAGGACCCTTTCTTCTGGCAGATCCTAGACCAGGGCTTCTTTGGGGCTTCGGGTGACTGTGGGCATTTGGGGTGAAGTGCTCAGTCTGCAGCTTGGGTGCCAGGACTGGAGTCCTGAGGACAGCGGATGAGTGGGGGTGGGAGTTAGTTAGGAGTTGGGGTTCTGGGGATGTTTCAGAGCGCCCCACTCCCCAGCCCGGCTCCCTGCACCGGAAGCCCACTTCCTCTGGCCCTGCCCCAGGGAGAAGGCCCCTAGCAAAGAGAAGCCACATGTTACAGGAGAGGAGGGAGCGGGGTTCTGTGTGGCCAGGGCAGGGGAGGAAGGGGACGGCCAGTCTTATTTTTCCTGCCCTGATCATCTCGTGCTGCTCTGTGACACTCGGGTTCTGCCCTAACAGATTCTCATCATGATTTTGTTCTTTCTTTGACCAGAGACCACCTGGGAACGCCCCAGCAGTTCTCCTGGGATTTCAGCCAGCCCTGGCCCTCACAGGAGCTCTCTGCCTCCAACAGGTACTGTGTGCGCACTCACTGGGCAGGGCCAGTGTCGGGTCACACCTGCCTTCCTCCAAAAGGCCCAGACTCTGGTCTCAGGGCCCAAAGTCCGGTGTGGACTGCTGCAGACCAGCGCGGGGAAAAGGTCATGCTCGAGGCCCTGGAAGCCTGTGGTAGGGGGCGACACCCTGGCAGTGCCAACAGCAGCACTGGTGGCTTCACACCTTCCCTGCTCAGGCCTTAGCACAAAGAAGTGGCAGGGAGAGGTGACATGTCACAGCTATTCCCTGAAGAGGGCCACTCCATGAGGCTCTTGGGGGATCAAGAAGTCAAAGATAAAAAGGAGAGGATTTTTTACAGGGCAATTTTCAAACAGAACATTCTGGAAAAAAAGTGATAGGATGTGAGTTCTCTGTGTGCAGAGGTGATCAAGTGGGAGGTAGACATCACTGTACTAGGTTGGAGGTTTGTCCAGGGATTTCTAGGAGACATCAGGTTCTGAGATTTCAGGAGATGGCATGAGGGACCTCCAGCAGGGAGAACAGCTCCAGATTTCAGTCTTTTTAGAATGTCACTTCTTCCAGGAACCCTTCCCCACTATTGGTTCAGAGCTCAGATCCACTCACTCTGGGTCATAGCTGTGTGCTGTTTTACTGAGCTCAGAGTTTTTCTCTATTGGTTGTCCATCTGTCTGTCTGTCTGTCTCTCTCCTCTGTAGTGCCTGGGATTGAACCCAGGGAGTACTGAGCTACATTCCAAGCCCTTTTTCCTTTTGTTCTGAGATAGCCTCTCACCAAGATGCCCAAGCTGAATGCCCAGTCTTCTCCCTCAGCATCCCAAGTAGCTAGGATTATAGCAATGTGCCATGTGGGGGATCAACCACACTTGCTGGTTTTTACGTTTACGAGTTAAGATAGAGCTGGTGTGGTGGTGCATGCCTATAATCCCATCATTCTTGGAAGCTGAGGCAGGAGGATTGTGAATTTGATCCTAGTTCAGACAACTTAGCAAAACCCTATCTCAAAATAAAGACTTATAAAAAGGTTGGGGATGCAGCTCAGTGTGAAAGCCTTGGGTTCAATCCAATACTGCGATAGAAAGACAGACAGATAGACAGACAGACATAGATAGACAGACAGACAAACAGATGAACTTGGAGGCAAAGGGTAGCAGAATTTAAATTTTAGGAGCTTGAGAGGGTGACAAAGAGTCTAGTGGACATGGGTGGGGGACACCAAAAGGAAATGAAGGGGTCAGAATAACAGTGACATCCTCCACTTATGACAGCCATGGAGGGGAAAGAAGAGTCCTCGTAAAGCTCTGGGAAAAACCACGCATGGTGGTGCATACCTGTAACCCCAGCTTTGTGGAAGGATCTCAAATTCAGGGCCAGCCTGGGCAACCTATCAACTCAGTGAGACCATATCTCACAAACAATTTTTTTACAGGCCTGAAGGTGTAACTCAGTGCAAAGGCCACAGATTCAGTGTTTAATACCGCCAAAACAAACAAACAAACAAACAAACAAAAGGTTCTGGGAAGAAAAAAACAAAGGTCTCAGCTATTTCTCCAGCTAACGAAAGCAGTGCAGGCCATAAAGAGGAATATTCCAAGAGGCCAGGGCCTTCGCTCGCATGACAGGCAGTCTGGGCTTGTTCACTGTGGAGATGCACTTGGTAATAACAGTGTCTGATCACATAAATCATCCAGGGCTGTGAAAGTTGCCAGCAGAACTCAAAACTGGAAATTCATCACTCTGCTGATTCAAGTACGGTATGGAAAGAAAGCAGAGCATTTCCTACTGGAAACGCATATAAAATCAGATTATATAAAATAACCTTTTGGAAGAGAGCTCTCTGGTCCAGGGAGGAGTGTGGGACTTGCTGTTGGTGTCCTAAGGAGACCAGGTGCTGGAGCTGCCGGATGCCAGGAGGCCATCCAAGCATACCACCTTCTCTCTTTGCTGTCTTTGTGGGCTTTTTAAACAATAGAAATGACAGTGTGAGTGATGTAATGTGTGGCTTTATTTCCTGGTGGCTCCAGGCCAGCAGAACACTAAAAAGAAATCCCAGCTGTCTTTTCCTGCTGGTGTGGTCAGTGTGGGAGGCCCGGGCAGCACCATGGGCAGAGGGAGACTCAGACTGAGGACATGTGACTGCCTGTTCTTGGTCACCTTCCTCTTGTTGCTGAGAAAAAAAATACCTGACACCCAGAGTTAAGGAAGGTAAAGTCTATTTTGCATGCTGTTTCTGAAGGTTTCAGTGTGTAATCGGCTGGCTCCAAGGCAGGGTGGCTCAGGGCAGAGGGCAACAGTTAGGGTGACAAAACACAGCAAAAGGAACCAGAGCAAAAAGGGAGGAGCATGGATAGAAGACTCCTTCTGTCCTTTATTTGTGTTTGTAGGCCACACCCACCTTAGACACTAGACTTAGGGTAGGCATAGCACTTACACCCATAATTCCAGTCTTGGACTGTGAATCAGTCACAGATTCTAGCAGCCTGCTCCCATGACTGCATGAGGCTTTGGGTGGATATCTAGATACAAAACATAACACCACCACAGCCTGCTGCACTGGCTGGTGGGGCTGCTCAGGTGTTAGCCCCTGAGTCACAGGAGCACTTCTCCAAAGCCCACTCTGCCAGTGCATCCGCAGGCAGCCTTCAGTCCCCTCCCTGCTGTCCCCAAAAGGAGAACTAGGAGGAGCTGGCTCAGACCACTGCAGAAGCCTGCACTGACCAGCTCCCTCCTGCACCCCACAATCAAGTCAAGAGCCCCTGAACCCAGCACTGATCTGGGTCCCAGGCATTTGCAGCAGGCAAAGAAAGTCAAAGAGTTGAGGGATAGGATCAGATCTGGAAGCGGCATCACCAGGGTGACCCCGGCTGGACAGTGTGACACAGACTGAGCCCCTCCACCTCCATCTTTGGAGCCTAAAGTGATGTTTCCCAAGGCAAAGTCCATGGAACCTGAGGCCCATCAAGCGCTCTAGGAAGGGGGATTTGGAGTCACAGACACGCTTCACTTGCTCCTGAAGGCTCCAGGAAGGTCTGGGATGAATTAGAACATTTAACTCCGAGCTTCTGCCATTGGTCCATTTGCTTGTTTACAGCATACCGCATACTTGCTAAGCATCCCCGTCATAATGCTGGAGGGATTTGTGCCTTCCAGAGGACATTTGGCAAGGTCTGGAGACATTTTTGACTGTCACTATTGAAGGGAGGCAGCTGCTGTCCCACAATGGGACAAGCATAGGACAGGCCCCAGAGAAAGAGTCATCAACATAAAAGACAATAGTATGGAAGTTAGGAAGCTCTGCCCTCAGGTGGCCCCGGAAATCAGTTCAGGGCAGCTTGAGCATCCATGGGTCGTGGTCCAGTAAAGCAGGAAGTGACTGCATGGGACAGGAATAACCTGTCATCGAATATGAGACCCAGTTCTAACCCCTCCCCAAACACACACATTTTAGTACCTTGGACATCAGATACATCAGAAGACCAGCAGTGTATCCTAACTGAATCAGGAGCTTTTTTTTTCCTATCTCAGTGGTACCTAAACTGCAGGGGTCTTTACTGACCAGGTGCATTTTAGATTTTTGGATTATGACTTGTTGAAGCGGAGCCTCAGACCTATTGGTTTACTAGGTTAAGCATCAGTTGCCTAGTCAGTAACTCAAAAATCTGCAGGAGGATGGAGCGGCCTTCTTGCTTCCTGACACTTGATACTTTCTCCCTGTGACATGCAAGTGTCTGAGCATCCATCTACCCTCCAGGGTGGAAGGGAAACGAACCCACATTCATACACTAGCAGGATCCGAGCTAAATCTACTGCAGAGTAGAGGGATGGCCACATTGATATTTCTCTCTGTAGAGGAGCATTCGTGGTTATCCTTTCTTTCTCATTCAATTTTTTCTTACTCAGCTTTCAAGAGGTTGAGTTTTATTATAGGAAGAGGCACAGAGACAGAAAAGAGATTGCTTCAAAACTCTACACTTGTGTGTCTGGAGTTGCGGACTCTTGAATACTCCTTGGGGCCTCTGATCTCAACCGCTTTTATTTCATGCATTTCTGCAAAAGCCACAGTGCCAGAGTGTCAACCCTTCTGTCTCTAAAGTATGCAGGTTGATATTCTTGGTGGTGGGGCTGTCGCCCTGGACAAAACCCATCAGTGCCTGCTCTCCGGGAACCTGCAGTTCAAAGGAGTTACACAATGCACACAGGAGACAAGTCAGATACTGTTTGCTCATCCTAATGCAAAGAATAAAAGTGGAGGAATGTGACAGACAATGACTGGTAATCAAGGAAGGCCTTGGTGAGGGAGAGACATTGAGGTCTGAGTTTAAGGAGAGTGATAAGGTATAGAGCAGAGGCCCTGTGGCAGGAATAACTTTGGCAGATTTGAAAACAGAAAAGAAATCAGTGTGTCTAGAGGGTAGGGGGCAAGCTGGAGAGTGGTATGAGATGAGAGGGGAGCAGTCAGGACAGCTAAGCCAGAGGAAGGTCACTCTGCGTGTGGTGGCTGGGGAGGCATAAACAGATGGCACTGCAGAGGTGTGCTGTTTCCTGAAGAAGCCACCAGGCTGCACCTGGCTGTATGGAGATGTTCTTGATTGGCAGGAATAAGGGCAATTAGGAATTACCTGCCAAAGGGGATGGTTAGGGAAACGTGGAACACTGAGCCCCATTTCCTGACACACTGTCCCTCTGGGATACTGACGAAGGGGACCAAGAAGAAAGGGTCAGGAAGATGGGCAGAGGGGGCACCACGGACAAACCCAGGCAACCTGTGCTCAGGCAGCCTCTCTCCTGGGGAGCAGAGGATACAAAACCACAGGGCTCAGCTGTACTCCGGTGAGCTTTTGAGATCCCCAAAAGAGCCCTTGCGAGCTCAGAGTGCACTTGGATGCCAGGCTCCACAGGTTAGGAGCTGGGGAGAAAGATCTACAGGTACCTCAAGTCCCCCAGAGTCCTGCTCCACCCTGTGGATGCTGGGAGATGCTTAGGGTGAGTACCAGGCCAG